AAATAAAAATAACAATTTAAGGTAAAAAGCTTTCTCTGCTTATTGACGTTTGGTGAAACTGAAAACCAATTTTCCAACTAATGTTTCTTTTTATTACCACGTTTAATAAAAATATCCACCCTGCATGGACCAGAGGTCGTGCTGTTTAGTAAGCTATACTTTTCACATTCTTCTATTCCTTTAATCTCTTTTTTCTTCAATATTGAAAAGAAAACATGGTCTGTGTTTAACTCTGTGTGTGTGTGCATTAAACTCACTCCTATAATGGCGTTGAGCTCAGCCATGGTGACCTGCTTGGCTCTCTCCACCGCCTGCACCACCTGCTGCTGATGCTGAGGGAGGGATGGAAAATATCAGGGAGTGATTTCATCAAACAGCGGCCGACATGGAAAAAACAACTTGCTAAACACAGATATTTGGACTCAAGCAGTGATTAGGAAGAATTCTGCATCCAAGAACAAGCAGAAAGCACTAAAATGACCCGTTTAAAGTATTTTCTTAGCACGCACAGTATTATAATGTAACAAGAGTTTAGAGAATGAGCATCCTGCTGTTTTAAAGAAGACTTCAAATGAGCTCATTAGGCCATAAACACCCCAGGAAATAGTTTAATAAGGTAATAACTTAAGTGAGAAATGGGGTCATTAACGTAAACAGTTCCATGCAGTCTGCCGCCTTCTTACAACCGCAGGGCTCCCGGCTCACTGACCGTTTGAAAAACGACATGTTTTTATTCTTTAAACACTGTCTTTATTTCTCAGACCTGCAAACATCCAGTAGCTTTATTAGAGCTGCACCAACACAGTTTTAAAGGACAAAAATCATTTAGAGATGTACTTTATGTCCCGTTATGGGGCCATTTAGAGGTCCAGATAAAAATCTGTTATTGAGAAGTGTTTGAATTTGCCAACATGAAATATTATTAAATCTTAGTGGCCACACTTTATGAGGAATGAGTCTTTAACAACATTAGTAGCTTGCTAATTGAACCTTTTCTGCTGCGACTGCACCTGCCGTCTACAAATGTGTGCAAACAGTGTTTTGGGTGAAAAAAAAAATCAGAATTTTGTGAATAAAACGACATCAGAACAAACCAGGATGCTGATGTTGAGTGTTGTTCTACGTCAGGCAGTAGCTTTATCCTGATCCTGTCCACATGCTGACAAGTTCAAACACTGAGCAAAATTAAAATGTGTACAATAAAATTGTTTTTACAGAATCACTAGCCATAGACAGAATATTGTTTCCTTTAATGTTCATGGATTTTTGGAATTGTTGGAAATTATGTTTCGACTGAATTTCATCCAAAATGCAGAGAAACCTTTGTAAAACTTTGCTTTCTTCTCACTCCTGCATGGTCCAGTTAGAATTAAATAAATGATGAAAGGCACATGATGTTTTAAAATACTTGGTTGGGGTTTAAAATGTTCATGTCTTATGTATTTCTCTGTTTCTGCTCATAGTTCTTATCACATGACAAAGACCCGAGGAAGAGCTGCCATCACACAACGTCAGCAGATTGTGACACCATGTTTTAAACTTATAAATGCCCCATCTCAGATACTGAATACTGTGCTTTTAAAAAGAGTGGCACGCTCCAGCTCCCTGTGCAAACAAAGACATAAAGACGAGCTTTAAATGAAACAAATGTAACTGGACTAGTCTTTTTTACGTTGCTCTTGTTGGTGTTCATCCTTTGAAACAAGTAAACCAGGGGTGTTGCTAAATACCGTATTTTTTGGAGTACAAGGCACATTTATAATCCTTTAATTTTCTCAAAAACCAACAGTGAGCCTTATAATCTGGTGTGCCTTATGTATTAATTCTGGTTGGGCTTACAGACCTTCAACCAATTTTATGTGAAACATGGCGCTCAAAAATCTGTCAGATTATTTTAACTTTGCTTAATGCGCCTTATAATCTGAAAAATATGGTAGTAGGATGCTGCTAGAGGGCCTTTGTCCTTTACGCTGTATCCGTGTTAATGTTTTTAACTTTAACACAGTCAGAATGTTCAAGAACTGCTAAACTGGAGATATGTGGCTGAGGGGACGTCAAGTCTTTGGATTCTGGGAAAACCATTCAAAAACCCAAGCAGGACACACTGTATGTGTGATTTACTACCTCTGTTTGTATTTAATGTTTTAAATGTCTGTGAAGGTTGTTGAAGAGCGGCTCGTATGGGTTTCCTGGCTCCAACAAAGTAAATTCAACACTATTACTATTATTGCACGTAGGAGTCTTTTATAAAATTGTATTTTTTTATTTATTTGTATCTGCTCCTAAGCCTCCAAAGAGGGAAAAAAAAACAGGTAAATCTTTATCACAGAAAACAAACAGAAAGTATGAAGTCGTAGAAGGATACAGAGAGGGGAAGACAGATCCCGACAGGGAGAAAGAGCAGAAAGATTCATCCAGGAGCAGAAACATCAAAGTAAAGCAGAGATGAAAGAGCTTATCAGGTGTGGAAATGAACCTGACCATCGAGTTCAGCTGCGCGCCTGCTCTCTGAGTCCAACCGAGCGGAACGTGACGCGCACACGAGAACGGATCCACAACTCCGATAAATACTTTCAAACAACTCGAAGGACTTCTCTTATCGCTAGTTCGAAAACGAGAAACCTGAGAAGAAAAAATGAAAATTGAAAACTATAAAGAATTATATTTGTCATCTCAGACAGTATAGATTTTATTGTTTTTTTTACATATATAATTTAAAAGTTATTGATACAGAATTCACGTGCTTTGATTAGAAGCACCTTTAAAAAGCAGCTTTCCTTCAAGGAATGGATGATGGAGATCTTCCAGAGACATTACGTTTTCTGTGAACGCAAGCTAAATGCTAAAAAGAGTAAACTGCTCCTAAAAGCTAAATGAAGACAAATGTTAGCTAAAAGCCAAAAGTAGCAGAAAGCAGAAGCTAAGTAGCTGAATGATAGCCAAAACTAAAGCAGCATAAGAGGAGAAAAATAGAACTAGAATGATTAAGCAGATCTCAAAGAACTTAAAGAGATCTCAATGTACAGCAGTCCCTCGCAACTTTGAGGTTTGTTTATCGCGGACTCGCTCTATCGCAATTTTACAAAATAAGATTGGAAATGACACACAATTGGCTGATTGATGGATGAGCCACACAATCGGCATGAATTTTTTAATAAAAATACATTATTTAAAATTATTTAGCACCTGCTGCACTTGTGTGAAGCCCACAGATGCAGGAGAAGCTTCCTCCTGCAGCGTGTCATATCTCCGCTCTGCAGCAGAGAAGTGGGTGTGGCCAAGAGTAAAACATTAGAAACCTTGTTTAGAATATTGCAAGAGTGTGGGAAGGGTTTAAAATGCCTTAATATATTGTATATACAGTAGTCCCTCGTTTATCACAGGTCCTCATTTATCACAGGGGATCCATACCCTGAATCCCAGTGATAAGTGAAAAACCGCAAAGTATAAGTACAAGTAGTAATTAGTTCTTTATTTTAATATTTATATAAATATATTAAGATGTTTTAAACCTTTCCCATACTCTTGCAATATTCTAAAGAATGTTTCTAAACTCTAAATGCCCAAAAAGAGCACAGAATGTCATGATTTCAGCTCCCTGCCTCCTCTGCTCTCAGCCACCTGCAAGAGCTCTTGACCACGCCCACTTCTCAGCTCTACTCTGAGAACAGCTGATCAGCTGCAGCAGGAAGTTTATCCTGCAGTGTGGGCTGCACAAAGGTGCAGCAGTTACTAAATAATTTAAAATAATTTATTTTAAATAAAATTTCCATGCCCATCGTGCGGCTCATCCATCAATCAGTCAATTGTGTGTCATGTCCAATCTTATTTTGAAAAACCGCAATAGAGCGAGTCTGTGATAAACGAACAGCAAAGTTCACTTATTGCGGGGCTTCAGAGTATGGATCTCCCATGATAAACGAGGCACTACTATATATATATATATAAGTAAACTACTACTTACTACTTGTACTAGTCCTATTTTGCGGTTTTTCACTTATCGTAGGGCTTCAGGGTTTGGGTCCCCCACGATAAACGAGGGACTACTGTATTTATAGCGAGAAAATTTGGTAATTAAAGTTAAATAATCTGAAAAGTATAAAAGGTGCAAAATCTAAAAGTCAAAGCATCGATATCCTGAATTAACTTAATGTTTTGATACATAAATGACTAAAATAATTAAAAGTGGAATCTTAGAATAGAATAGCAACAAAAGTCCTGTCAAAAGATAATTCAAAGTAGAACCAATATTAGAAATTGAAACGAATTAAAACAACAGAAACTTCATAAGCATGTGGACTCTGTTGACAGTATTTACTGAATAACAGCAATAACAACAATAATATTAATAATAATAATACAATAGTAATATTACTACGAGGTGATATTAGGTAACTTTCATATGAACGCAGAGTGAATGAGGTTGTAGATCAACAGAAAGCAGCTTCCTCCTCCTGCCTTCCTTCTCTTCGGGCCTCAGGGCTGTGTAGCAGCACCACCGTCTAATGCCATTATTCCTAATCCCTCCTAAACCCTCCTAATCCATGGCTAATCTGAAGGAGAGCTTTAGGAGTCCAAACTCACTCGTTCTTGCTGTTCCCACCCCTCAACACACACACACACAAACACACACACACAATTAGCTCCTCAGATGGAGGATTTATCACCTTAACACACTCACACAGACACACCTTAAGAAAGGATAATAAACACTGTATAAAACACACTTTGTACACCCACATCTGTATAAGTACACAAATGAAGGTGGGTTTTTTTGTACCCAAAAGTATTTTCTTTCACACACACTCAGCTGTTTGGCTCCTGAATATGTTAGTGGGAGACATTTGATAAGTTCAGAGCCTATCTGCCTATCCTTAGTAGGGAGGATTAGCCCAGGATAATCTTTGTGCGTGTGTGTGTGTGTGTGTGTGTGTGTGTGTGTGTGTGTATGTATGGCTGTTTGCAAGCATGTGTGTGTCTATATTTTGCCTTTTATCTTCTGAATCCTCCATACAATTTCCCTCTTATTTATTCAGCCTACTTTCCTCCCTCTTGTTCTTCCTGTCACCCACGTGTCTCTTAACTCAGAGAGACAGCCGTCGTCGACTCTTACCTCTTGAGAGAGGAAAGGGATGACTTGGGCGCAGATTGCGTTCAGCCGTTTGACAATCTCCGCCTGCAAGACAGAGGGGTGGATGTGACGGGGTGTGGGTTTGGGTTTGGGTGGGGGCGATTAAAAAAAAAAAAAAAAAACAAGATCAGTTTCAAATTTGCCAGCAGTCAAAAAGACATCATCGTTCTCTTCACACCACTTTAAGGGCTACGATCACCACAGCTCCCGTTTTCTTCTCGTGCAAAACGCTGTCAAATTACAGCTGCATGCAAAAGTTTGGACACCCGCTGATGACTGTGATATTGTGATTAGAAAAGAAACTAGGTCCCTCAAGAGCTTAAACCAGAACATTAAGCCTTTTTTAATGGAAACCCTGTTATTTACTTCAAGTTCTGTCAATAAAAACCCAAGAAACTCACATACAGTAATTAGAAGTCTTGTTCAACAAAATTAAAAAAGATGACTGAATGTTAACTCCCACAAAAAGTGGTTAAAAGCTGCAACACTAGACAAAGAGGTGTTTAATGTATTCTATCTCTTTCAAAACCAGACAAAGCTGGTCAAACCATTTTTAGGCTTTTTTAGGATATTCAGAGAAACTCATTTAGACATAAAGAGTCAAATTAATGCACAAGAACAAACATCAATTGTGCCACCTCTCAGCTTCTGAATGTAATAAAAGTTATTCTGTTTGTTCAGCAGAAGAAATAAACCTGTTGCACACAAAATGTTGTGCATTTTGAATTTGAGGATTCTTTAAAGGCCTAATACAATAAAAAAGAACAATTAGAACAACATGAGAGGTCCACACTTACATGGTACCTTTATAATAACCTCTCCAGGTGCTTTATGACGTTTCTCATTCACCCATTCATGCCTTCTGCAGTACTAGTTTACACCCCATAGTCTGCATATATACTGTACACTGATAAGTACATTAGGGGTGGAGGGTTTGCCTTCCCAAAGAACGCTTCCCCAAAATCCCGGACTCTCCAACTGGCAGACCTCCTCCCTACTTGGGTTAATTTTGATATTTTCATGCAATAGAAATGAAAAAGTTAGACTAATAAATACTGTATCTGTACAAAAAAGCCAAGTTGGCTTACAGCATTCATGAGAAAATCACCAAAGTGTCTCGAAACATTTGCGAAGCTTCTCAGTTTTCTTACACGAGTCTCACTTTAACTGTGAGCATGCTAAAATCATTGAGTAATAAATCTCCATCTTCTGCAGCTTATCTGTCAGATCACAGAGGCAACAGATCCAGGAGGGAAACCCAGACATCCCTCTCTCTCGGGACACTCTCCAGCTCCACCTGGGGGGCCCCAAGGCATTCCCAGGCTGGGTGTATACAATCCCTCCTGTGAGTTCTGGGTCAGCTCTGGGTCTTCTTACAGTGAGATGTCCAAACCTCCAAAAGGAGGCATCCAGGAGGCACCCTACAGATGCCTGAACCATCTCAATTGACTTATTTCAATGCGAAGGAGCCTGACTCTACTCTAAGACCACCAACCACCACCACCCCGGATGATGGAGCTCCTCATCCTATGTCTGAGCCTGACCACCTCATGAAGGAAGCTCATTTCAGTTGCTTGTATCCAGGATGGGCAGCACGGTGACACAGTTGGTTGAGCTGCCGCCTCTCAGAAAGCAGGTTACCCTGGTTCAAATCCCAGTCCGGGGGCCTTTCTGGGTGGAGTTTGCATGTTCTCTCTGTGCATGCATGGGTTTTCTCCGGGTACTCCGGTTTCCTCCCACAGACCAAAAACATGCATGTTAGTCTGATTGGTAACTCTAATTGTCCCTAGGTGTGAATGAGGGAGTGGATGGTTGTTTGTCTTGTTTGTCTCTATGTGTCCCTGCTGGACTGGAGACCTGTCCAGGGTGTACCCTGCCTCTCACAGCGATTGTTGGACATAGGCACTGGCGACCCCCATGACCCAAAAAGGAAGAAATGGTTAAAGATAATGGATGGATGGATGGTTAAAGATAACAGATGGATGAATGGATGGACGGACGGACGGATGTATCCAGGATCTTGTTCTTTTGGTCATGATCCAAACATCATGACTGCAGGTGAGGGTTGGAACGTAGACAAACCAGAAAATCGAGAGCTTTGCTTTTTGACTCAACTCTTTCTTCACCACGACCGACCGAAGCAACATCCTCATTACTGAGGATGAGACTTTGATCCATCTATCCATCTCCTGCTCCATCCTACCATCACTTGTGAACAAGACTTGAACTCCTCCACCTCGAAATGGAGTGGGTAACAGTGAACCAGTGAGTTTGTAGTTACTATGCAGAGCCAAATAAGACTTTAAAGGACCTGCTAGAAACAAAAAGTATAAAACAGTAAAAAAAAAAAAAAGACTATTAATATTATTAGTTATAATCAGTCATAATGGGGCAGAAAAAAAGCTACAACCACAATATTTGTGGTGCTGTTAGCAATTAAACTTCTAGAATAGAAGCTTTTTTATGCTTGTCCACTGGAAATATGTTATATATTATGGCACCTATAATATAACTGACAAGATGAATGGATCTGGGCCCCCACACCTGATTCAAAGCAGTTGGAGTTGAGTTGCTAAGGCAAACAGAAAGTGTTGGGGTCGTCATGATGAAAGAAGAGGAAAAGAGGAGTGAAAGAAAAGTTGATTTATCACAACTGGGAGTATTCAGCAGTTATATCACAATCCCAAACGATGCAGCCCTGATAAGTAAAGCATGCGTCTGCTTATGTGAGATGACAATGAATAACAACAAAGTCCATGCTCAATAATCCAGGTATACAAGCCAACATTTTTCAGTCAGGTCATCTGGACACCTGGATTATTGAGCATGGACTTTGTTGTTTTCAACCAGTTTGACAAGACTGTCAACAAGGAAGAGGGCCGGCAATGGAGGAGGGGGCGTACCAAAGAGACCATCTTATCACAAGCAGAACTGGTTTGTTCCACTTTGGAGTAAGCTGTTGGGGGAAGAATCAGTTTTGTTGTGTGTTTCCTTGACTGATGAAGCCTTCCGGATCGAAGGCGAAACGTTTCAGCACCAAAAAAGAAACAGTCCAGATGACCTGACTGAAAAATGTTGGATGACAATGAATAGTTATCAAAAGTTGTGTTTTGGTCTAAATGAATGCAGGTTCATGCTACAAAGCCTAAAAGGGGATTTTAAAATAGAAACTTCTTAGAAATACCACATCACAGAGCGGAAAATCCATTTGAACAGATGAATGAACAGGAACAGGAAACTCTGTCCGTTTTAATCAGGGAATAAAGAGCTCTTGAAAGCCATTAGGGTGTGTTTTCCTTAAGTTTGGAGAAGCGCACAAGAAGCCTCACCTCTCTAACCTTGTATCATGTATAACGTTTGAAGAGATGAACTTTGGTATCAGCCGTAACAGACTCCCCCAGAGGCAACCCCCCCTCAGCGAGCACTTAAATAAATCCTTCATCCAGAAGTGGAAGCAAAGATGCAGCAGGGAAAATCACATAAACACAACTTTGTGAACACACAGACACACACAGACGCACACATCCACGAGGCCATACGTTCCCCCGCAGCCTTCTTTATATTCATCTGACGCTCTCTGCTGGACCCGAGGCTCGGCTTTTAAACATTATTTGGCACTTACTTCCTCCAGATCAGGTGGATTTTTTTAAACAGCAAATTGTCTGATCCGCCATCCCAAAGGGAGTGCTAGCAGTGCAACTCAAATCCAAACATAAACACAGACAAAAGGCACGGACTCGCTCAGAAACGCATGCTAATGGGCACCTGGGGATGAACACCGCCTTATTTATTCATAAAACAGACGACAGAGAGCTCCTTCTGGACTAATTTTCTTCTTGTGATTAGCTGAGAGGAAAATGGTTGTGTCCACGAAAAAGATTTTGAAATGTGAAGAAAATAAAAATCCAAGTTGAGACATTTTTTTTAGACACTGAGCACAAAAATTGATCATTTCAATTCAATTAACCAGAGAAACGTTCACTCACAGCTTTTTGAATTTAAGATTTAATTTTAAAAAACAAGGTGTGTTTATTAGAAATAACCAGCTAGAATCACTGAGCAACTAGATGTTGATAAAATATAAATCCATTTTTGTGAATAATTGATTTGTTAATTCAATAATTCTCTTTAAAAAACATGTTTTGCATGCTTTGACCATTCTGATGTTTACTTCTGCTCAGCAGTGATTTTAGCCTCCTTTTGGGAGGTGTGCAAGCATCCTAAATTTTAACTCAGCACCCCTGAAAAATAAAGTAAAATATATATTTTTAATTGTGTTTTTTTGGTGGGATGGGGAGTGGGGGAACGATATAGTTGGGATATGTTTATTGATTTATGATCCAATGCAACAAAATGAACAAATGTAAAAGGAAACAGATCATTGTAATACTTGGTTTATTTACATAAAAACTTTAATTGCTGAATACAACAGTGATAAACAGGAAGTACAACATGTTCATCTGTACGAAGGTAACTGCAGGTAAACCCTCCATTTGCTGTCATAATTACATTTTATGCTTAACGGTTAAATTAAAGATTAATGCTTAAAGCTAGTTGTGCTTTGTTTGGGTGTTCTGTATGTAGATATATGTTGTAACTTCTGTTTGAATAAGTTTAGTTTTTGTTTGTTATGATCAGTTAACACTAAACTGATTTTGTACAAATTGTTTATTAGGTTGTGTAAAGTAAAGCAGAGAGTTATGTCTGTAGTATCTTAGCAAGCGCGTCTGTATTGCACGCTGCTAGTTTAGCGCTACTTCTTGTTGGTCCAAACTCTCTAATATAGTTACTGAATCAAGTGTTTACTTATGTAGGTAAACATAGAAGTTCAACAATGTTAAAATACACCAGAATGAAGGAAACAGCATCTACTTTATTCAAAATTTTCTGGGGGAGGACCTCCAGACACCCACACCTGTGTGTCCCCCACCCACGTTACTAATGCTTCTGAAGCCAATGGCCACCATGTTGTTCAAGTCAAGAGCCATTGTCAACACTGGGGGCTAAGCCCCCCTAAGGTCAGATTCTAGAATCACCCCTGCTTC